CAACCATCATCAAGAAGGTACAAATATTTGAAAATGGTTGTCTACGCAAGATACTCAACATCCATTGACCGGATATCGTCAGCAACAGACTTCTGTGGTAGAGAACAAACCAGCTCCAGCTGAAGAAGAAATTAAGAAAAGACGATGGAAATGGATAGGAAATACGTAACGCAACAGAATCAGATATGAAAAGGATGAATAACAACTGGAAAGATCTGGAAAAGATTGCCCAGGATAGGGTTGGATGGCAAGCATTGTAATAAGCCATTCACTTCATAGTCTTTTCATGCATATCGATAAATTACCAATTACACGATGTATTGTGAATTATTCTTTATAATTATGTTTCATTGAATTCCCAAATCATTGTCAACGTCTTAGGATTCATTAGTTATTCAGTTTAATCAATTATTATTAATAATAACCTGATATAATGTGATTAGTCTTATTAACGTATTAACATATCATCGTAATATACGTATAGAGGAAGAAATATTATAAACCATATGTTATATCAAATTGGCGATGAGACCGTTTTTAAACGAACCTACGCACCTGACTATATTTTGTAATTGGATATATTTTATCAATCAGAAATGTTTACTTTGAAAGTAAAAATCTGACGATTTGTGCAAACTCGAGGGAAAATAATCAGTATCCTGAAGAAAACTGTGCTTAATAATGTTGAAAATGGACAATATTCAAATGTTTCGATGTTGGATTCCGATCACTCTAATGAGTTAACTATGTTGAGTGACGTCCTCAATCGTTGTGAGAATAATGTTTCAAATGAATCATACTCTGATCAGATTCATGATATCATTTTACCAAATTTATTTGTTTCTAATGAAATTATTTACAAATACGTGGGAGATATGACACCAGCGCATCAAATTCTGATCGGAATTCAGATGTGATTTGTTTTAACGACTCATTTATTTCAAATAAAATCTTAGTTAAATGTGAGGAAGAAGTTTGAAATGTGTTGAAATCTGAATACAATCCTGATCGTGTCGCATCAGATGTTGTTTGTCCTCATAATTCATTTGTAGTGACCTACTTTTATCCAGAGAACGTGATTGGTTTAATGGAAATAATCATTATTATAACCAATTGTACCAGTGATTGTTTTACTGTGCTCGTTTGTTTAACTGTGCTAAATACAGCCATATTAATCCATTACTCTCCATTTCTTTTCCGCGGATTGTGACCTCGTACGTTCGTACTCTTGCCCGCTGATTCCACTTGTACTCCTTTTGGCACGATATCAGTATTCGTTCGATACCACGAGATCGCCAACGAAATAAATCTGGTTACGCTCTATCTTCGCCTTCTGATTTATTTGGTACGCGTTTCCTTGTAATGGTGTTCATAGTCAATCGCGACTCGACTCCACGCTACACGTTTATCTCTGGTGTTATTCCTAATGTATGAATATGGGACTAAAAATCTACCCACAAACTTTAAGGGAACGTTGATGTTTTGTAGTGAACGTCAAGTATGATTAGTCGCTGAGCGTGAACAAACAGCCACATATCAGTGTAGATAAGGTCTCTGGCCTGTAACATGAGATGATTAGTCGTTGTTAACTGACAATAGTAATAATTTATATTTAGTTGGAAAGGCGAAATCAAAGATGTCCTTATTCTGACTATGGATTTCACATAAACTCTGAAATGGCCAGTATGGCGTTTATAGTTCTAGTAAAATATGTGTAGGACAAATAAAATTGTACATGGAGAATCATAGGCCATCACCATTCTACATCGAACCCTGTCCGGGGCAATCAGTCCCAGTCGCTATTAATCCTTTCTATGTTTGCTTCAAATTCTTGACGCACTACGTCCTTTGGCATTCCACTATGAAGTTTTTACTTAGAACATTAGTTACGATACCAAATGAATTCTTCACAAAGGAATTTAATAGAAAAACAAATGTGATTGAGCTGATATGGCATTTACATGCTTGTTAAGCGTTGTCCGACTTTTCGTTTCTTTAATTAGTTCATACGGACCCTCTTGTAGATATTCCATGGCTTTTTTCGCACAGTCAGTCCTATTTGTTCATAGTAACTGTCGTGTTTCATTCATCTGTTCTCGTAATGATAATTTTCTTATCATTTCTCAGTTGTTTTAATGGATGTGATTCATTTTTAATTAGATTGGAATTATATGATTTTTGATATAATAATGTGACCATTATTTTATTCCTCAATTCATTCACTATTTCATTAAAAAGGTAATTCAGAGTTGGCTTGATTGCCGGTGATAATATTGAAAGGCGAAAATTGTCGTCCATTTATATTGAAATTAAGTCCCATTTTAAGGAATGAAATTTCATAGGCACTCAGATTTCGATCAAACAAATTACCGATCAATTTACTAATATCTAGTGTATTCGATTTATCTGTAGTCTGTTGAGAACTCTGTTGTTCAATGCATATCTCAACATTTTTTCCAACTTTCCAATATGCCGTTGTTTTTGACGATTAGTGATAAAACTGTTCTCTGTGTTTGAAAAATTTATTTCTAATTGATCTCATTCCTTTCACTGTGACAACTGACAAAATGTCATCGATATTACTAATCCTCGGTCGTAGTAACACCATATTCATAATGGCTTTATGGTATGGTGTACTTTTACTCTTATTCAAATGATAATTAAATCAGTTCAAAACAAATAATCGGTAAGTTGAATATTGTTAACAGTGATCCTTACAGATTAATTGTTGCCATGCAAATCATCTTAATTATTTTAATCAGACTATAAAAACACCGACGGTTCAAGCTAAATCAATTCGAACATGTGGATACTCAGTAGTTCAAACGAATTCATCAAACATTTTTCAATAGACATTATGGTTGACTTTCAAGTTGTAATGCGTAGCACACACACACACACATAAATGTAGATGTCAGTCTAAACTTCACCACATGTAACCAATAATAAATCAACTAGTAAAAGTGACTAAACATTCATTAGCAATATTAAGTGAGTAGATGCTTGAGTACATGAATAAGTCACAACTACATACCGTTTACTTGATCTTGCATCTGTAGTGTCAGTTATTATGCCAAGCCCATATACCTTATTCGAGCTTTCGGACATCCCATTCTATTCATTTTACTTGAGTCATACATTGACCTTGTTATTTATTCGCTTATCAATCTGGACTGTTTTTATATGAGCGTATATGTGAGTGCCCTTCTTATTCCATTAATCACATGTCTGTAGCTTTATTTTGTCTGACTATAAATATTGAGTAAGGCTTGACAAAGATGGAGTTGGCTTCCCAGCCATCTTCCCTGTGTGTCATTTTGCTCTGTTCTATTACATTCACTTGACATACAAAATATATGTATTCAAAGGCCATTCTCGTTAATTGACTTATCTAAATTACGTTATTGACTAACGTGATTTAAGTCGACGATGATATACGAGAATCAGCGATAGCAATCAGTCGTACGCTCTAAATAGGAGTCAGATTCACGGGCCACTAAACATCCATTTAAGTGCCCATTTTAATAATGAATTATAGTCTACTATAAATTAGTAAAGGAAATTATAAAAGATCTACTAATGAATATATAATGAATCTTACTATAATGCAATTATACATAGATCAATCAATCAATCAATCAGCATTGCATCTCTCATTATTGACTCGAATGCCACAAAGCATTCCTTAGCACTAAAACAATGAAGTGGACCATTTTAACACGCATATAACTGTTAAAATGAAATGAATTCAGCTTATTATCCTGATAAAGTACAGAACTCTATAAGGGCTCCAAACATATTCTATACGTCACTAAATATGATTCCTGTGCTTAAAACTTCTGGTTGATTTTTGTCGGTCTCATCTCTTTCTTTCACTCAATCATTCCGAAAACAACCATAACTTACGTGAGCGGGGAAAGCCTCTAATTAAATTCTTATTGTGAATCAGTATGAGTGATGCTATTGTCAAGCAATTAAATATTGAAAAAGTTTTGATAGAAGTCAGTAAGTTTTATTAGGACTAATCTAGCATGGAAAGCCTTAATGATAGAGTAGATTCCTTGGGTGGTATGATGTTCTCTGTGATAGGTTGTATGGTTGCAGTGATTATATTGTCTAGATGACAGCAGCATGTAATCAAACAGTGTAGCTCAGCGAATTGGGTGACTCCTGTCCACAAGTTCGTCAGCCAAATAACTGTTTGCATCAAACACTGAACATTAACCATTCCTAGTTGACTACTCCAACAACACACACTAGAGCAATATTACAATTACAGGTGATTACACCAATAATAGTTTAGAATAGCGCATTCTGTCGCAACTTCATTTCCATTGAAATATAACATGAACAGAATAGCACAGACATTACAAATATCATACATATAACCATAGATTGAATAAAGAAAACCAATTGTTTGCATACAATTTACATATATTTTGTTTACCTAAATCTCATGAAAAATAAGAAGCAGAGAGAGAGAGAGGGATACAAAATCAAATCATATACACTTTGTGTAGTATATTGGTCGGCAGTCTATGCTCCATTGGGAGTAACAGGCGTAACTAAGTAAGTAAGTTGTGTCGTCAATTAGCAATGCCCAAAATTTCCCATTACGCAACCACCAGTCAAGACACAAGAAAATTTTACGAAAATAATTTTGAAAATATAAAAATTCAAATGAAAAAACAAAACAAGAATAGAATGGTCATGAAGAAATTTCAATCACAAGTAGACAAAATGTACAAAAATATTGCAGTCCAGGAAGAAGAGCAACCGGACATCAGTTATCAACGTTGATCGCTTCATTGTTTTTAAATGAAGTGAATGTAGCAATTCACAAAAAAGGTGATAAAAAAAACAGAAAACTAAAGAACAGGCTACATTATCTTTTTGCATACGGTGAATTTATACAATAAGTGAGTGTTCGGGTAGCACAACAAAATGACTGTTTAACAATGTTAACAATACACAATAATTCTATGCTTTATCTTTCATCTTCAACTGGATGGTACAATACGGAAAAGTTTTTGTAATCCAATCGTGATGTTTACTGGAAAAATAAACAAAAGATTGAATGAAAACAAACAAACAAACAACCAAAGAAGAAGATGGAGAATATCAACAAAATCTACAAGTAACTTGATCATGTTGAATTCAGCTATTCGTAAGCAAGTTTGTCTAGTTCAATCATCATCATCATCATCATCAAATCATTTCAACCACTTTGGAATGATTTTATTTCATATGATAGTTTTCATCAGGTCAATTACACATTTACTTATTAAGATCAATGGAAGTTATATGAAGATTTTGTTGGGACGGCTTCCGAGAACTACGACGGAGCCTCCAGAGGTTCTAGAGGAGTCGAAGAGTTCCATCCAATCAGAACGCAGTGGAGCCTTCTAGAACATCAACGTGGCATGCCACTGTTGGTCAGTAGTGCAACACGCCTCTTTACGGACAGGTTGACTTAACAAATGCTAACATCTATAAATACACATGATTTTCTGTATATATTGATTCTTGCCCAACAAACACTTTCTGCAGTCTTCTCCTGTCTTCTCGTTTGAGACTTAGAGGGTTCTAGCATTCGAGTACCCAAGTTATACAAGCTATATTAAGAATCTAAGCTTTAGATTTAATTCCTTACCATTTGTATTGCATTAGAAAACAATCGATATTTACATGAAAAAACTATTCCTGTTACTTGTTATAAACTATTCTGACTTCAACTAATCCACGAAATTGAGTGACACATCCACCATTGTCTTCAGTGAGTTAATATCACACAACAGACCCAGTTGAACTCCACTGGTCACTGATTCTCATTATAACTCCAGGAAATACCTCTTGAAGTCAGTCACCAGTGAGCATGTGTTGAATAATATCAGAAGGGGCTTTGTGTGAATATTATAGTAGTTTTAATAGTTGAGATCATGAGTCAATTGAAGATAGACCACTATGGAAAACCTAGAAACACTAGACGTCCGTTTAGACCTGTTGTGAGACTCCTCACCAGTGCACATCTACCATCCCGCTTAGCGAGATTCGAACTCAGGATCTATTGGTCCCATAATCTTATTTACTAAAGTCACTACAATATCCACAAAAAATCCCATCTGACATGTTATTGTACTATTGGATTATTGTATTGAAACTTATTGTCCTCACTATCACTGTTCTGATAAATTTTATTATTGTCAATCTCTTGACCGATGAATGACCTAATAAGAAACATCATGTATCATTCATTGAAAGCATGAATATTATCATTTGACTTGAGAAAAAAACTCTTTTCTAGTTTAATAACAATTGAAAAACATTTTCACAGTAAAGAAAATGAAAGTTCAGTAACTACTGCCTAGAGCTTATTAAGGCATGAGTATTAGTAGTTGACACATAAGATGTTTGTATACATACCTGAAATAGCAACAATTATTAGAAATCAATACTTAGATTTGGAGATCTAATCAGAAGATTGAATTATTCAAACCTAATACCTAACTCAAACCTCATAATTTCTTTCCGTTTAACTCAAATATTGATAGCATAGAAGTGATTGAATGCATGTTCACTAAGTGTTGTCCAAAACTGATTAAATTCATAAAATGTATAGTAGTGTCAACTACTCAAATGTTAAAGTATTTATAATTGTATTGGGTTAAAAGGGTTTTGAGCATCTACATAGTTGCATCATATGGTTTAGCTGTGTTATTCAGAATTCTAAGTAGCTGAGATGATATAGTTCTCCTGAAACCAAATATAATCATTAACCACTTTTCCAACATATACATGGGTGAATCAGATTGCATATGCAAACCCGTTACACTTATTTACGTTTGCGAAACCAGATAGTGTCTCTAGACGTCAGATAAAACAAGTGTGTAACTCGAAACTGACTAAACAAACCAACAACTGTTAGGTCAGTTAGACCGAACACGTTCGAAAATATTTCAATTATGTGATATGGAATGTGACTTGACAAAATTACTTACTCATTTTTTCCTGAAATGATTTCGGTTTAGGACTCCACGCACAACCGAGTATGTAAACCGGTATACCGGTTAAAATGATCAAAATACCATATACTACAAAGAGATAAGACAATCGAAAATTCAGTAGACAGATGTAATCATTGTTATATTAGGAAAATAAACCATTCGTGAAATCAGTTCCATTTAACTAAAATGATGAGAAGATTACTTCATCTTTCAGTAGTACAGATCAAATAATTTTCCATAAAACTTCAATTTCGATCATTAATTAAGTCATAAAGTGACATAGGAATAACCGACAAGAAGAGCCATAGGAAAACTGAACTAGATTTTTCTTAGTTCTGAACTATCTCAACAATGAAGGGCTACAACAAGCTATAACATCGAATACATGCGATATTTTGGTCTTGTGAAGAAATGTCGGTTTCTGTACCATTGAATAGCAAAAGTTTAGTTCGGTTATTCCACTAACATTAGTTTTCGTTAGCAATACACCACGATTTTGCGCGAAAGTCATCGATAAGTTATGATCTCGTCTCTCGCCATTTCAACTCAGTAGCTCACAACATACTAACTAACTCGAAGCTAGTTACTTATGAGATTATGGCTGCTTGGCTTGTTGTTTAAAATTCAATCTCCATATTCATAGTTGAATAATATAACGAACTGTCATTCCTACATTCAGAAAGTAAACATACGAATTTATAGAACATAATTTATAACAAATGACCTACATGATTCTTGAGGTGATCCATAAAAAGAGAAAATTAATAGAGATGCAGTAACTACTAAGTAGATAATGGCGAATATTATAGGAGCCTGTAATAAATATAAATAACGAAAAAATAAAAATTCTATGATATAGTAGTAGTATTAGTAACAGCTGAAAATATTAAATTAGATGGTAGCACGGCGTGTGCTACGTATATCGACATAAGTAATATATAACTCAAGTCAGGAATAGAGTGTCTGGCAACTGAAGGTCGAGAAGATCGAGGAGAATTGAATGGGAACAGAAAGCGATTGGTAAGGAAATGCAGAAACAAAGAAGTCTATGACAATTGATTGACATTTTGCAAATGAAGTATTCATTGTATGGTTCTCAGATTTTACTAAGATGTTCTTTAATGTTGCATTAAATTAGATTCGACTGTCTCCACGTGTGTTCTCGTTCACTACATCAATAGTAGAAAAGATCTTTTCAATAGTTTAAAACGATTTTAATGCTTTGCTTCAAAATTTTCCTCAACGTAACAGTTTTAAAATGATTTTTCTAATTTTATGTCAGTTCATAAAACTAATGTCTAATTTCAACACCGTACAGAACGAATCTTTCAACAGAAAACTACTGGTTGAATAGAAAAAGTAATGATGCAGTGCCTAAATTGACGCAAAAGCTAACATAACAATCCAATGCTGACATTGTACAACTCAATAAAGTTGTCCAAAACAAAAGTTAACTAGAACTAGTCATGATTAATAACAATTCAATGCAATCATATATTAATGTAATAATTAGATTCATGAGTCCATTGCAGCTAGACAACCATGGAAAACCTTGAAACACTGATAGATCATTTCATGCAAGTATGGGACTCCTCAGAAGTGCGCATCCTCGATCCAGAACATAATATTCTCATGTGAACACTTACGCTTTAGGCCACTGAGCAGGCATGGTATGATGTTAATGCCTAAATTCAACCAATCCACGAAATTACGCCACCTCCACCGTGGACTACCTTTAATTGACTCATCAATTCAATGAATAAACTACTATAATCTCCATAAAACCACTCTCTCATTATAATCATATAATCTTAAGGAATAATATCGCAAACCCACTTCAGAAATTTTAATTTACCTTAACCGGACGTTGAATATTAGGACGAGTAAATCTGAAAATTACTACAATCAGAACACAAAGACCGATTGCCAACCATTGAACAAAACCCATATAATTCATAAGTGTGAAAATATCTCCAGCAAGCAAGTAAATTATTGATACGATACACTAAAAGAGTAATTAATAAAAGTTAAAAAATAAGCAATAGAATCACAATACATACACTGAACAATAGTAATTCATGTAAATCACAATTTATAATGATAATCAAGTAGGCGGCCTGCTTGAATATCCAGGATACCTGTTCCTGACATCTGAATATTTCAACAAATTTTCTGTTTTTTGTTTGTCGTAACACACCATTATGCCTATTAGTCACATAACCTATTCAGGCATGTTTGTCAAAAGTTTACCACATTTCGCTGTACAAGTGACAAAAGAGCTCAATCAGAGACATCGTGGTTGCTAGCAATATGCATCGAAAACAATGTAGATTATTCACATGTCGAGTCCTGAACTGCTAACATTTAACTGGCGACTACTCAACATTTATCACAACGGTCGATCAAGAAATAAGAAAGGGAAACTTGTTAAGATCCTTCCTTCGTGCTGAGATTTCTGTATTGTACCAAAAACATAATATTACATAAAGCCACCAATAATTATTTAGTTGAACCTTGAACAGATCAGTAACAGTAAGATTTAAAGTTTAAAATGATTTCATTACTTTATTTCAAAACTCCTCATCAGCTAAAACGTTTAACCCTATACACAATTACATGATTAAAAATAAAGATTTGAGACAATCTATTATGTAGATTTGAAGTTAATTTTCAAAGGTTTCATGTCTCTTTTCAAACTTGTATTTCATCTTCACCAATTAAAGTTTGTCTAAACTATGTTTTCATTCGTAGTCTTCTTTGAAACTGTAGAATGAAAATCATTGATCTTGGTGTGTTTCAATTACTACAAAGTCATTATTGTCAAAGTGACCCACAATCTTATTACAATTTCAAACTTATTATCATTAAATGTCATCCTACAACTAGTTTAAACATATTCGACATTGTTCCAAATTAGACATCAAATGTTCACATTTAAAACGTACTAACTGATTTGTAAGGATGCAAATACTTTTTATTATCTATTTATGTTTGACGAAAGTAGTGTTATGCAAGGAACTCACAGTAAACAGAACAGCCGGAATAGGTGTTAATCGATCCGTGTGCAAGTAACTGATAAACGCTGGCATTTGTTTGAGCTGACTAGCAGCAACAAATATTCTCGATGTAGTTAATATAGTTCCGTTAGCACTCCCAAACGTTGAACAAGCAACAAATATTGGCATTATCCACCAAAACATTCCGTATATTCTATTAGCAAATGTCTGTTTTTGTAAGTAAACGGAAAAAATGGTTTCAAAGTAAATCCAACTTATTCAGTAATTTCAATAGTGTAATAAGAAGCCGAAGAGTATCAGAACGATGTGATATAATAACGCAAAACATTTCGAACAATCTGATCACATATACTTATCAAAAACATTTGTATATAAAAATAAAAGTCAACTAGACTAGAAATGGAGGGTAAGAAGAAATGAGGAATAATAACGGAATAATGTGAAAACAATTTGAAACCTCATCACTCTGGACAATAAGCTAATATTACCAGGGTAATTTTATGGTGAGAACAAACTGTATTTGAATACACAGAGGGGATTCGAATTTTCGTATAGCTAAGGCTTCAATAAACCTTAGTATACACCCATTTGCACTTTTGTACAAAACCACAAAAGCCGAGTTAAGATCAATCTTATGACCTGTTTCTATTATGAGTTTGGCAATAAGGGATGATGGATGTTTATCCTCTATTCTTAGTGGGTCATTTGATTCTATTTGTTTCTCCAGCCATTTAGGTACACGTTCACACACCCTTATTTTGAGGTCACGATTACTACTTCTTATGTTTGTGTGCGATCACAAACACATTTAAATTGGTAAATACAGTGGGATGTGAATCAATCGTTTTGTATTCTTCTAGGTTTTCGATGAGGCATGAACCTTGTTGTTCCCTTGGTAACGACATTGTCTGCATAATATGTCTTGTTAATGACTGATTTAAGTTTTTGCTTCAATAAAAGACCATTTGAATCACCTCTAAATGGTAATGCGATGTAGACAGGCATTTTTCCTGCCAAAGATATCGTAGATCTCACTGTACCATGAACTTTCTATCTATTTATGAATTTCAGAGGATACCCAGTTTCCATTATTGTTTTATTTAGCAACCTAACATCATCATCAATGGCGTTATTTGTACAAATACGATCAAGTCTGTTAAATAGACACCTCTACAAGCCCCGATTGTATTACACGAGACAATAACTAAAATAAAGAAGGTATTGAACTGTCCAAGATGGTGTGATCTTGAACGGCGAAACTGCATTAGTAATATTCTCGGCTAATAGAAAAATTGATCAAAAGCATCAATACACCAGTAAAATTACTATTCCACCTACCACAGCCACAGCTCTTGTGGTCAACATCTCTGCAACTGGTACGACTGTCACATAGGCTACATTAGCAGCTGTGTAAAATAGGGTCACTAGTAAGCACGATAACCTAATTACTAAAGACAAATGTTTTCTGGGGTTTATCATTTCTCCAACCATACAATTTAAGTTAGTCCAGCCGCCATAAGCAAATAAACAACTGTAAAATGCATTAGCTATTTTACCAGGACTCCAGTCCGAATCGACGAAAGGTTCTTCCAGCTCTTCATAGCGACCTAAACGAAGTTAAACAATAAAGTACAATGAGAGATGCGTAAATCATTCCATGAACAGTGATTACAATTACAAATACATAGAGATTATAAATACTAGTCAGTTGCTTAGAAGAGATAAATCACACTGAGTAACTAACAGAGACTGAAAACAGCTTAAATGGAAACACAGGACAGAGCTGGTTGGAGAATACTAGTCAGTGGCCTATTCTCCACGAGGGATAACAGACGTAAGTAGGACGAAGGATCATTTTACTCATTCATAATTTATTGAACAATCACTCTATTCAGATCGAAATCTTTGAAAAAATAAAAGTAGTCTGACATGTCATTAGAAATGTCATATATTCAAAGAGCGATAACAGAAATGAAATGTTCAAAGGTTGTTGCATTGAAACAACGTTTAATGTAAGAAATATTCAATCAATTAATTAATTATGTGTATTCTTGACAGAATACAGGGAAGATTATTTTTCTCAAGCTTGATGACTAGTATTGCGAATTTTTAAACTCATCAAAGTGCGTCTTATCACATACAGTCGTACAGTTTTATTCATGGAAAAATTTTATACAACACTCACTATTCTGTAAACAAAATATCATTCTTATTCTAGACTAACTTAACATACTTGTTGCCATTTAGTTTGGATTAAACAATCACTTCATCTGAAATGAGAAACTCCTGAAGGATGCACACCAATAAAATCTTCATATCAAGACAGAACCACACATAGTTCAACAAAAATCACAAAACAAAACCGACTGTAACTATTATAGATAACAAAAGGTATTTAAAATGAATTTAAAGAATCATATAATTAAATTACCAAATCCAGACTGTACAAATCCGGTTACAATGATCATTATAAGAGCGGCAAGTTTCACAAGTGTAAATATATCTTGTATTCTGGTTGAAAACTTAATTGAAAAGGAATTGGCGAAGCTTAAAAATGCTAAGCAAAATGAAACAAGATGACAATAAATTGGGAAATTTGCATTAAAATATCATCAGTGTGATCGTTTTAAACATTTCCAGATGAAAAATCATTAGTAATGGTGAAAACAGCAAACTATTGTGAAATAGTAACTCACCAAAGACAATGGTAGATGTGTCGCTCAAATTCGTGGATTCGTTGAATTTAGACATTAACACCGTTGGATGACGGCCGCCTCAGTGGTCCAGTGCTTAGGAGCTCGTGCTCGAGATCGATAGGTCCTGAGCTCAAACCTTGTGAGACGAAATCGTGGATACGCACTGTTGAGGAGTCCAATCATAATGCAAAACGGCCATCCAGTGCTTCAAGGTCTCCTTTAGTGGTCTAGCTTTAATTGACTACTGATCTCAACCATTGAAAAAACTACATAACCTTCTTCTAAGTGAACTTCTTCCAGTATCTTATTATCAACTTAATTTATCACATATCGATTCCAGTGATACTTTTAGTTTGACAGGTAATTAGATAATAAACGAACCGTTTACTATGTAAACAATGACTAGAATATATTATTTATCCCAAACAGTTTACTGAAGTTATAGTTTGGTAACTATCAGTAGTATTGAGATCTATAAGCCAACTAATCAAAATATTTAAAGTGTCAAAAAACAGAATGTTTACTGATGTAATACATTTGAATTCATCTGGTATTAATTATGATTAAATCGTTGTCATTTTGCAAGTCTATCAAAAGCATAATTTACGATTGAAGGCTTACAGTCACCAGAAATTAACACTTCTCAGTTTTCCTTTATTCACTCACAACACATAATTTAACTGTCATCAGTTTTTCACTTTCTGATCCGTATTTTGGTTATTCACATTTTGACACTTTCAGCACTTATCACTTATCACTCAAACAACTTTTATTCAATTTTACTGGTTTCAGTCCACCATTAATTTCATTCATCATTCTTCTGTCGTACATGCTTTGCGTCAAAATCCCTACAGATCACATACATTTGGCGAGAATGTCGAAAACAATCAGGATTTATGGTATTTTTCTCAAATGTTATTATACTCTATTCAAATTTAAAGAACAAACGCATTTTGATGGAATGATTCAGGTCATCCATTTCAAGGAACGAAGTAGCTGCTTACTAGTGATTTATGTTTATCAGCACTGTTATACTCCCACCAAGCAGTGTTTGTCATTTTTATGTTATAAAACTGCATTTTGTGGGGACCTTTGTCGAGTATCTCCATCTAAAGAACTGCCTTCATTCTTCGCTTATCAAAAATACAAACAGTGCATTTTATCCATAACAGTACATACGAGTTATTGTTGGTTGAGTATATAATTGAGCACATCTTAATTGATAAAATGGAAAAACGCTGTAGGGAAATATTTTTAAACATACTAATACATAAAACCGCCAAAATCCTGAT